GGCAGAGCGCTTGCCTGGCACGTATGAGATCCTGGGTTCGATCCTCAGCACCACATAAAAATAAATGAACAAAATAAAGACATTATGTCCATGTATAACTAAAAAACATTTTAAAAAACATATTTGGGAAAGGTTAAGCAGAACCTATTAGCTAATGCATGAGTTTTATGCAGAGGAGCCATATCTCCCAGTACTGGGGACTGAACCCAGGGAGTACTTTACCACTGAGCTACATCCTCAGCCCGATTTATTTATTTATTTTGACGGGGGCTTGCTAAGCTGCCCAGTCTGGCCTCACATTTCAGAATCCTTCTGTTTCAGCCTCCTGAGTTGCTAGCATTTCAGGCCTGCACTACCACACCGAGTTCACATATGGACTTAACCACCAGATGGGGAGTTCAGAAATGCCTTGACATACAATGGTAGAGGGGGAGGATGTACTGATAGGGAGCAGAGATAAAGTGAGGAAAACCCAGAGAGGTGAGTCAGACTATTGTAGAGGGGATGGAGAAGTCAAGAGGACCAATCGGGAGGTGAAAAGGTAGTCTTGTAGGTGAAATGGGAAGACAGAATCTAGAAACATTGAGTGGTGAATTGACATGACTGGAGGAGGGAGTTGAAGAAGAGGCAGGAGGTAAAGATGGCTCTTGGCTTTGAGTGGCATCCCTGGAAGAATGATTATGCCATTAGCAGAGGACTAGGGTTGCAGAGAGGAGCTTAGGAGGAAAATCACGAGCTTCTGCTTGGATCTGCTTTGTCTGTGTTGCTTGCAGCACGTTGACACCTAACTGTCCACTAGCAGGGCTCCTGTGGCCTTGGGAAGGTGTATAAGGAGTCAGAGGAGAAAGAAGGGTCTGACTGAACACCCAGGTTAAGAGCCTTTCCTTCCTGTCTCTGTTCTGTCTCCCTCCAGCCCTAAGAGTTGTTTTCTTGCCTGATGAGTACAATGCTAGGTATATGGTGGGCACTCAAGATAAATTTGGAAAATAAATCCATTTTAAAGTTGAGGTTGTCGAGGTTTTTAGCCCCCCTGTTTCCTCCTGACCTGCGGGAGAGATTGGGAGAGCATGCTCCAACCAGGACGAACCAAGAAAGGTAAAGGTCGACTGGCCGCCCACATCTAGCCCTCCCTTGCCAGAGGACAATCAAACAAGCCAGGGAGAACAGTCAAAGCAGGATCTCCTTTAATGAGAAAACATACACAGCTAATATAATGTACAGGAACCAATCAGGGTAAAGGTCAGCAGGGTGGGGAGAATTTACATCTACACCCATCCTACAGGCAGTACTGGGAGACCCGAGCTACCTGAGCTGTCCGTGAGGGCAGAAGGGTTCTGAGCCTATACTAGAGGTGGTCGGATTCTTCATCACAACCCAAGGCAATGCCTTCTGGCTAATCACTAGGTGCTATCTTAGCCACATGTGGCCCTAGGACTGGGAATCGGGTAGCAGCCAGCAAGTTAAGTTTCCTCTTTTCTGATGCAACAAGCCCCACATTACATCATGCCCTACAGAGGTGTCTGGAGAAATTTCATAACAAAGATGATGATCAAAAGAGTAAGGCAAAAGAGAAGGAAATAGTTGGTGACAATGAGAAGTACGAAATTGAGGCCCTGGATGTGGCTATTTCCCAGAGACAAAGGATTCCAAGGCCTGCCAGGGAGTGTAAGTGGTAGCAATCTGGTCAAGTTAAGGATGTTGAGAGATGTTAGGGCCAGGAATAATGTCAAGGAGTAAAAATGACTGGTAAACCCAGGTAAGAGGGGCCCTTGCTCTGGACTGTCCCTTTACCTCACTTTAGCTTTCTTCTGTGGCAAAGGATTCATGCCACTGGAACCTACAGCCCTAGACTAACTCTTGGATGCCAGGGTCCTAGCATTCCTTGCTCAAGTGGCCAACCCTATTTTTAGGGTCTTTCCCAGGCCTCTTGCTGGCCCATTCTCCTGGGGACATATCATGCCACTGCTTAAACACCCCTCTACCTGAGCAATGGCCCAGGGTCACCTTTGGTAGTGGGTAGGGAAATTGAACCCAGGAGCACTTTACCACTGAGCTACACCCCCAGTCTTTTTTTATTCTTCTTATTGAGACAGGGTCTTGCTGAGTTGCTGAGGGTTTCAAAAATTGCTGGCATTGGCCTTGAATTTGTGTTTCCTATCTCAGCCTCTCAAGTAGCTGGGATTATAAGTGGGTGCACACGTTCTTTTTCTTTTTTTTTTTGGTGCTAGGGATTGAACCCAGGGCTTTGTGCATGCGAGGCAGTACTCTACCAACTGAACTGTATCTCTAGCCCCTGCACATGTTCTTAATATCTACTCTAGTAAGGGATGGAGCCAGGACATGGAAGCAAAGGGAACCAAAAAGAGGGTTGTGGGCTTCAGGCTGACATCTAGGTCTTGTTATGCTGCTGCATTCTGAAGCTGAATTCTGAGACAGGAAACAAATTGAAGCACAGGTTTTCAACTTGTTGAAGAGGTGCTTTTGTCAATGTTAGAGTCTAGAATGCATTTTGTTTAAATTGGTAAGCTTGATCTTATAACTTTGAAATACTTAGACCTGGGATAAGTAGACTTTCATTTAATAATCTTGCCCAGAGACAGTCAAATATTAGGAGTCTTGCTTGGTGTAGTGCTGTACACGTGTAACTATATCAATTTGGGAGGCTGAGGCAGGAGCATTGCAAGTTTAAGGCCAGCCTGGCCAAGCTATTAAGATCCTGTGTCAAAAATAGAAAGGACTGGGGATGTAGTTCAGCAGTAAAGCACTCTTGGCTTCAATCCATAGTACCAAAACAACAAAAACAAACTAAAACATTTAGGAGTCTTGAGAATCAACAGGTTAAATAGGTCTTCCTGCTACAATCATTAGCTTCCTTCTCCTTTAATACCTACTTATACTTTTTGGTGAGTACTTGTTTTATTGTGTGTCTCTCTAGTGAACATGAAGGAGTGTGGAGGCAGGAGACAGGCTGTCTTATTTACAAATGGATCCTGGTGCCAGTGCAATGACTGACATGTAGCAAGTGCTCCCTGAATATGTAAAAAATGATGTTGAAAGACTTCAGTGTTTGATTACTGCAGGTAGGGCGAAGAGAGGTGATAGAAGGATATATAGCAACTAGATAAGAGAATACCTGCTAAGTTATGAAGGAAATTGAGCAAAAGTCTGGAAAATTTCTCTTCCAATCAGTCAAGGAATGGTGAATGTGAAACTTCTATCTCCTTTAAGAACCAGAGTTGAGTCAGTACATTCATCCTAAGTCTTAAATGATCTGTTGTTTTTGTTTCCTTCAAATGAGTGGTTTACAAGGATCAAGTGTCAAACACTGAGAGCCTGATTTTCTGAAATGACCAGATCACTGAGGTGCATTTAAAAATAAGGAAAAAAGAATCCAACTTTTTGGATTTCCTTGACAAATTGAATCTTCCAGGAATCATGATTTGAAGCCTTTAATTGGACTTGTGTTTATCACAGGTCACATCTCACCACTCACAAAACAAATGCCCCTGGACATATCCTAATAATGGAAGGTTCTAAATTTCTGAATCCTGGACCTCAGGTTCTTTAAGGCCCTTTTCCTTTGAAGATTGCCTTAAACTTTTTTTTTTTTTTTTTTTTTTTGGTACTAGGGATTGAACGCAGGGGTTCAAAATGGCCACATCCCCAGCCCATTTTGTGTTTTATTTAGAGACAGGGTCTCACTGAGTTGCTTAACGCTTTACTTTTTGCTGAGGCTGCCTTTGAACTTGCACTCCTTCTGCCTCAGCCTCCCGAGCAGCTGGGATGCACCACCACATCCAGCTTAGTTAAATTCTTAGTGCTATATTTCTACCAAACTCTGACCTCAGTTCTTTTGAATTATATATAACATTGCATATCAGCTTATATCTACTATAGATTCTGAAACTGAATTATTTCACATATGATGAAATGAAGCTTGTTTGCACCAGAAAACAGCTATTCGTGTCACCCTTCCAAATTTCCCTTGGTTGTTCCTTTGATGATTCCCAAAGGGAGAAGCTAGACTTAGAGTCTGAAGACCAGGGATTGACTGTTGCCTGAGGTTAAGATTACATTTGAAGCTCATCCACAGCTCTGGCTCTCACAGGGGCTGGTAACCCTTATTCTTCCCTTTTGGGTCTAATTGTAGGAAATTGTACTGCTGTTTCTTGTCCTTCCCTGGGCACCTCAACATTATTGTTCCCTTGCACCAACAATTTTTATGAAAATATTTTTTTTATGTTGATTTGATTTTTAAAAAATCAATTTTTGTAAAAGGCTAAAAAAAATCATATGTAAAGGTGAAATGAGGTGTCTGGAACGCAGGAGGTGGTAGCACAGTCCAGATATAGGTTGCAGAATAGGATTTGGGAAGATAATGAAGAAACTGGGTGACGCTAGAGTGTTAATTTGTTTGACAAGTATTTATCTCTTGAGTTCCTACGAAGTGCCAGGCCCTGTTCTGATGCAAGATACTCATCGGTAAATTAACCAAAAGTCTCAGCTCTCATTGAGCTCAATGCCAGTGAGAAAGCCAGATAACACATATTAACACGCTTGTCATATACATACATACGTACTTGTGGAGGAGAAATCAATGCTATTTATAAAACCGAAGCAGAACAAGTGAACAGCGTTTGAGGGTGGCTGCTATTTGAGGAGACCCCCAAAAAAGATAAAGAGCAAAGCACCCGGGACAGTCTTCTTCCTCTAATGTTTTGGGCTGCTGGACCGAAGCGAGCCTTTCAGGAGCCCCGCCCCCTCCCTCCCGAAAGGGCTCCAGGTACAGCCCCCGACAGGCTCCTCCCCTTGTCCCGCCCAGAGGCGGTCTTAGGGCGGGGCTTCTCTCCCAGCGCTTGGAGTGCGCCGCGCAGAAAGCCGCGCGCACAGCAATCCCGGCATGCTCCTGGTTCCCTTTGGGCGTGGAGAACCGCTCCAGCTGCAACCTGGCATGCTGGGAACTGTAGTTGTCGCTTGACGCTCGGCGTCTGGAGAAGGGTGGGCCGTAAAAGCCGCTAAGTCCGGCTTCGTTTCTAAGCACATGACTTGCGGCCCTGAGGGTGGAACTACTTTGAGGGGAGAGACAGGGTCATCCCGAGAACCAACCGGAGTGTGTCCAGGCTGGTCATCTTTCCCGTTTACGTGACCACAGCTTCCCTGGGCGCGCGCCGCTCCTCAGTCCCATTCCCGCCCCGCCTGGCCCGGCCGGGCCGTCGGCCGGCACCACCCCCGGCGCTGCTGCCACCTCGCGCTCGGAGGCGTCACGGAACGTGCTCTCCTCTCCCCCTCCCCCTCCCTTCCCCTCCCGGCCTCCCCCGCCTCCCCCTCCCGCGCCGAGACTCGCCGCCGCCGCCGCAGCCGCAAGAGTAGCCGCCGCCGGAGCCGCGCGCAGCCATGGCCGAAAACCCCGGCTTGGAGAACCACCGCATCAAGAGCTTCAAGAACAAGGGCCGCGATGTGGAAGTAAGTGTGCTTCCGCGGTGTGGGCCTGCCCGGCTCGCCCGCCCGGCCGCGCCGGCCCGGCGGCGGCGGGGAGGGGCGGGGGGCCAGCGCCGGGCTGGTTCTCGCCGGCTCGCGGTCAGTCGGAGTTGGCCGCCACCTCTGGTCACCGCGGCCCGGGGCTGGGCGGAGTGGGCAGCGGTACTCGAGCTGGGCTGCAGCCATCCTCCTGGTCTGCCGGCGCGGGGACCGGGAAATGCCGGGGCTTTCGGCTCCGTCACGCGGGCGCGGCCTGGTGTCGGCGAGGAAGGGATGTGAAGCTGAGGCGGGGTCCGCGGGCCGGGGCCGCGCGGGCGGACTGACTGGGATGCTGTCTCCCCGGCCGCCGACCGCACCGGCGGGGGCCGACCGCGTCTCGCGCGGGCTGCTGGTGCAACCTTCCGCTGGGTTCAGCCCCTTTGGTGCCTCCCGCGCTGCCGCACATGGAGCCTGGGCTCTGCCTGTCTCCGCGCCTACCTTCTTCGAGCCGGGCCCAGGCGGGCGGTGGCGGCCCGCAGAGGGGGGTGGGGACCAGCCTGGTAACTGACTTGAGGGTGGTGGATGGGGGAGGGTAGGTGCGCCAAGACCATTTTCTTATATTCCAATGCTGTCCTTAGGATAGCCTTGCTGAGCAGTTCCAGTTTATACTCCTGTTACTACTGGCAAGTGGAGCGAGCTGAAGGTGGACAATAGTTTACCATCTATTGTGTTGAGGCTTCAGAAAAGAGGTTATTCCGACCTCGGCTCTTAGGACCTGTTTTCTTAGTCTTTCTTGGAGTGGGAGTGTGCATAGGATGATAATCTCTTTGACATGTTTTACCTGAAATGAATTGGATACATAGATTTCGTCCGTCCTTGCATATCCCTTTTGCACCAAGCTGGTAGATTTTCCAAGTGGTTGCAAAACTGTAAACATTCATTGTGGTCACTCAGTTCGTTGCTACTCAGCATGTTGCCATTGTCTCATTAAGGTGACATTAGCAGCTACTATTTGCAAACTCTGCTTATTGAGGCAGCACTAGAGGTCTCTCTGCAGCTACTAAAAACCATGAACTATAATGCATAAACTTCACTAGCACTCTTGACCTCTCAATTTGATAAGGAAAAAATTGTTTTTAAATCGAGAGTGTCTTTTCTAATACTAGATAACATGATTTGCAGTTTTGTAATTTTTGCTAAGGGGCCAGTATTTATTTTATCCAGTCTTAAAAGAGAGAAGATTGGGGGGGGGGGGTAAATATACTGTTCTGCATTCTCTTTATGAGAAACACAACTCTGGTAATTTTCAAAATTAAATACTAATTGGGGAAAACCTAGGGAAATATCTGTGGAATTCCCGTTTGAATGAGACAAATAAAGGTCATCTAAGTCCTGACCATTCTTAAATTCCTTTGTGAGAAATGTCTAAGCAAAAGTGAAATTTAAGAATAGGAACAAGAAGTGTTGGAACTGCCTCCTGTTATTGGTTCACTTGATGACAAGAGTTAATTTTGAACTTTGACCACCAGCAATTTTTCTTGAAGCCTACTCTTTCAAAGCAAGTTACATAGTTTGAAAAATACTCTATTACTTCTAGCGCAAAAATTAATATTATTCTTTCCCTCCTTGGGTATTGGTACAGGTTTTTATCTTATTATTTCCCTCTATTACCGTGTTCCAGGAGCTTAATAATATTATGTATAAATTCAGAAACATAATAGATACACAGCAAATACTTGCTGATGAAAAGAAGGTAACCTGTGACTTCTGGATGCATGAAAAAGACAGCATGGTTGTTAAGTCATTCAACCTGATATTGCAATTCCCAGGATACATTAGTGTAACTAAGACATCAAATAACAGACATTTAAATGGTAGTTCTGTCATGCAGACACTCTACTGAGAACTTCATGATAACCTCATTTAATCCTTATAGCAGCCTATGAGCTAGGAATGGCAATATCCCCATTTTAACATGAAGAAGGTACTTTAGATGCTTTTTTTAAAAAATATATATTTTTAGTTGTAGATACACAGAATACTGTTATGTATTTATTTTTATGTGGTGTTGAGGATTGAACCTAGTACCTTACCATGCTAGGCAAGTGCTCTACCACTGAGCCACAGCCTCAGCCTCTTTAGATGCTTTTGTAGTGTTATGTTTGGGGATGCAAAAAGGAATTAGATTCAGTCTGTACTTCAAGGAGTTTATAATCCAGTGTATGTGGGTGGGGGGTGGGGGGGTTATACTTACAATGCATTACATTTATAAGTGTTATAGATATTCTGAAAATGCACAAGAAAACCCTGACTTGGAGCAAGAGATGTCCAGGTTGATTCTTTTTTGTTTGTTTGGAGGGTTTGAACCCAGGAAAGCTTAACCACTGAGTCATATCCCCAGCCCTTTTTTGTATTTCATTTTGAGATACAGTCTTGCTAAGTTACTTAGGGCCTTGCCAAGTTGCTGAGGCTGGCTTTGAACTTGCGATCCTCCTGTCTCAGCCTCTACCACTCTGCCCAGCCTGGTTGATTTTTTTTTTTTTTTTTAGTTGTAGATGGACACAATATATTAATTATGTGGTTCTGATGATCGAACCCAGTGTCTCACACATGCTAAACAAGCTCTGTACCACTGAGCCACATCCCCATCCTCTGATTGATTCTTAATGGGTGAATGGGAGTACGCTGACCCTGACAGGTGAAAGAAAATTAACTCAGAAGGGCAGGAGAAGGGGCATTCCAGATTTGAGGAAGCAGTAATTGAGTCCTGAGAGAATGTAGTAGGAACACTGAGATGCAGAGAGAGAGTGCTTGAGATGTGACTAAAGGGTACCTTGGGTCAAATCTGGTTAAGGGCCTTTATTGTGGATTTAGAAATAACTTAAGACTAGATGCCATGTCTAATTTAGTCATATCCACGAGAAACAATTACATTAGAACCATACTACAACTTAGTTCTGTAAGTAGTTGTGATTATCAGATTGTTCCAATATAGTAAAATGCACATTTATTTATTTGTTTTGTGCAGGGTTGCTTTGCCACTGAACTACATCTTCAGTCCTTTTTATTTTTTATTTTTGAGACAGGATTTCACTAAGGGCCTAGATTAGCCTCAAATTTGTGATCCTCCTGTCTCAGTTTTCGGAGTCACTGGGGTTACAGGTGTGTGATAGGGTGCCCAGCTGTGAAATGCACTTTGAAAAGATACAACCTAAATTACACAACCATCTGATACACATTATAAGATAGGAGCAAGAATAAAATACACATTTTCTAAAGAAAATGAAAGGATATACCTATGTGAGGGCCTGGTCTGCAAAGAGGAATTTTCTTGAGTTGAGATTGGAGAGGGCTGTAACCTGGAATAGGGATTTGATGCTCCTCCTCTTTCTTTTAGCCTTCCTCCTCTTCCTCATCCTTTTCTGCATAAAGCTCACAGAAGGAAATAAAGGTTATCTTGAAGTTTATGGATAAAAGGAGGGGAGTGAGTAATTACCTCTGGGCAGTTTGGAGTTTGGGTAGGGGAATGGATTTTGTATCTAAACCAAGAAGTATATAGGGAAAAGGAAATTTTTAATTACCTTTTTTTTGGTCTGGAATATGTATTTCAGCACCAGACATTTTTGTGCAAGGCATTGATTCCTAAATTTATTCCTTTAAAACATTAAAACAACAACCTTTTCAAATATACTTAAGTGCACAAAACAGAAATTCTTATTCTGTTTAACGACTGCTTTTAAAACACAACTGCCATCCAAGTTCACTTTTCTATTTCTTGTTCCTATATGCTTTAAGGATGTGACATTTTTATCAGTAACTAATAATAATAGTTAGAAAATCTTAACATTTATTATTTGTAATGTGCCAGTGTTATATGGAGTATTTATTTGGTCTTTGCAATAGTCCCGTGAAGTAGTGCTATTATTTTCCCCATTTACTTTTTTTTGGCGCTACTAGGGATTGAACCCTAACCGTTGCACATGCTGGGCAAGTTCTCTACCACTGAACTACATCACTAGCGCCACCCGCCAGTTTACTACTGAGGAAACCTGAGGCCTACAATTCTTAGATAACTAGCTCTAAGTCATAGTGTGGTAAGTGACAGAGCTTGGGTTTATGTTGAGCATTATGAGTTGGAAGCCAGAACTCTTGCTCACTCTGCTGTCCTCCACTGAGGGGAGTCTAAGATTTGACATGTATGAAGCATGTCTGAAAGTTATTGGGAGAATATTGAAGAAATCTGGACTGTATCATAGAAATTCCTATTTTGGTACTTTAAAACATTGCTAATAAAATTGTGGATACACTATTAATCATTTTGATTTATTTGCCTTTTTTAAAACTATTACAAAATTTTATTATTATTAACAGAGTTTTACCAAAAAATGATAACCCGTGTCCTTGAGCTTAATACTTAAATGTTTTAATAATTCATATTTCATTTTATATTATTATGGTTGAAATCTATTTTATCACCTGAAAATTTAACTAGCACTACCAAACTTGTTCCTGTCTCTCTGGAACTTACATCGGTTAAGTGGTATGGCCTGATTGTCTAAGTTTAAAACTTTATTCGTAACTCCTTTCCCTTCCCTTATTTATCCTTCTTGGTATTAGCCATCCCAAAGAGCCCTCATATTGGTACCTTTGTTACTGACCTTATTTACAACTGCCCCTAATTTAGACCCTTATTTTTTCCTGTGCAAGTATAATAGCATACCTAGTTTCCTGTCTTCAGTATCCTCTTTCCCCATTTATCTTGTGGATTGATCTTTCTAAAAATCTTTCTGTATTACATTTCTGTTCACAATGCTTCTCATTGCCTTCAGGATAAAAGTCCTTAGTGTGCCATACGTAATTCCATATAAAGCCCTACTTTACTTTTCCCATCTTACTTACCACTTTTTTGCCTGTATCTCCCTTATGCCAGTGATGGTAAAGTACTTGAGATGGTTGAGTAACCAGGTCAGTTTTCTCTCCACGCATTTATAAATGCTATTCTATTA